ACATGTTTTCCCATTATATCTGATAAGATAATATAGTCTTTTCTTTTAATTCTGAGTTAATTCTAGAACAAGTGCTCAATGTATTGTACATGTTACAACAGGTCTCTGAGACCATTAGTAGTTCAAAATTTCAAGCTATGTATCAAAGTCTCAAAAAGTAAAGATAATCCAACTCTCTCTCCCTCCTCTCCCTCTCTCATGCACACACAAAATCTTTTAATGTTTATTGTCTCACACTATTTTTTCATATACTAGTATTGATTTGATCATACTCAGACCCCCTCCCCTCTTTCCACCACCACCTACTAACCTCCCTGCACTCTCATGTCCTCTACTATTATTTGTGTTTTTAAGGCCTATTAAGTCTAGTCTATGTTTCCCAAGTGCTCTTGGGTGCTGATTGCCGTTGGAGTCTGTTCAACCTACCTGGCATTACAACAGTGGGAAAACTGACTCTCCCTCTCCCAGCATCTATCAATTAATTTATTTGCAAATGTAACTAGATACATTATCATGATCTTAAACTGCATAACTGTAATGTCTAAATCCAAGGATTGATGTCCTTATAAGGATCAGAGAGGACAACCTAGGAGTGTTTGAAGCCATAAGACCTGGAAAAAGGAAGCAATAATTCTTCTCCAGAGCCTTCAGGAACAGTATGACCCTGCCAACATGCTGACCTTAGTTCAGGCTTTTACTTACTGAAATATAAAAGAAAATATGTATGTAATTTTAAAAAGCCACCATTGTTGTAGTAATTTTATTGGAGCTCTGAGAAAATAACATAATTAGTATCCATATTTGCTATCATATAAAAATCCAATATTTAGTAGTGATTAGGAAAGTTACAAGGGGGTGGGAAATTGTTAGTCATACACAGTATATAGACTGCATGACAATAGCATCAGAATTGACAAAGGCATCAAAACCGCCATTATAAATATGCTTGGAAAAAATCTACATAAAGTCACACTTAAAGAAGCAAAGAAAAACATCATGACAATCTCTCCACAGGTAAATAAAACCAAGAAAGAAATAAAAATCACAAAAAGTAAGCAAATGGATATTCTGCAGCTGAAATGTGTAATAATTGAACCTAAAAATTTAGTAGACCTACTAGGGTGTGCAACGTTAGATTTGAACTACCTGAAGAAAGAATTAGCAAACTTGAAGTCTGTGGCTAGGATGCCTATACCTGAAGGACAGAGAGAAAACAAATGAAAAGTAAGAGAGCATGAAGAACATAAGAAGCAACATTATGCATGACCACTGAAGACTCCAGGGGACCCAACACCCTCCTCTGGCCCCTTAGGGTACCTACACTCATGTGCCCGTACCCCTACACAGACATCCATGCATACACATAATTAAAATTAATAATTTTTTGTCTTTTTGAGACAGGGTCTCCCTATAGCCTCAGCTGATTTGGTATTACCAGAAGGAAGAGAGAAAGAAACAAATTGTATATACAACAAATAATGGCATAACACTTAAAAAATCACAGAAAAGCATTAATCTGCATAGCCAAAAATTTTGATAAATTGAAGTATGATAAATGCAAAGAGATTAACAACTAGCAGGACATAGTGGAAATGTTGAAGCCAAAAGAAAGAAAAAATTATTAAATGCAGCAAGGAAAACTAACTGGTTACATGTGAGGAAGTCCAGTGTGACTACCAGCTGACTTATCCTTACGGGTCCCTTCACTCATTGCTATTAAGTTAGGAGCTAGACGAGTTCTGTTGAGGATCCCAGTTCAGACACTCTCTGTCTATCTTATCATCAGGAAATTGATAACAGTTTGGAGGAAACATTGCCAAGGGATTTAGGATTACTAAGAAGAGGTTAAATTTTATTACAAGCACTACGAGTCTATGTGGTATATATGGAGGCTACAGTAGGATATCACAGTCCTGACCCTATTCTGACCTACCTGATAAAACCCTTTTCACTGAGAGCCACATAGTAAAACAAGAAACAGTGATGGCCTACACACTCCCATTGTGTGAAAAATGCTAACAGTGAAAAGAAATGATAGAAAATGAAGAAAAACGTAGCACGATGTTTTAAAATTACTGTAGTTTTAAGATAATTAATATTTTTTGCAGTAATTAATAGTAAATTGCATTTTCTTTCTAAAATTTATTGATGGTTAGTTAGTGTACACTTGAGCTGAACCCCTAGCCCTATGGAAAACTAGTTGTTTTTCAGGTTTATCAAAGTTGAAAATAGACACAGTGCCAAAATTTTTAGTTTTATGTTGAATATTACCTATAATAAAAACATCATTTCCTTGTTTCTAATATTGTTAGGCCTTATTTATTAAATTCAACCGATTTACCAAAATGATCTTCACAGTCTCAACCATCATTAATATAGCAAAAATTATTTAAAAGAATATTTTGAGGAGCTAGAGAGACGGCTCAGGGGTTAAGAGCACTGACTGCTCTTGCAGAGGACCCAGGTTCAATTCCCAGTACCCACACTGCAGCTAACAACCATTTATAACTCCAGTTCCAGGGATCTTATGCCCTTTTCTGACCTCTGTGGGCATTGCACAACGTGGATGCACTTATACATATGCAGGCAATACACTCATATACATTAAAAAAAAGAATTAAAAAAAAGTATTTTAGGATGAAGAAAATCTTAATTTTTATATGGTAGTTATACCACCTATGGAATGGATAATTATTTTATTTTTGTCATATTCATTTTGAAAAAAGTCCAGTTAGCCATATGGGAGAGGTGTTGACTCTTATTTTTTGGAGGATTTCAAAGTTGCAAGCTAACCATCAATGTGATGTTAACAGTGTCTTTTACCAAAATCTATTGCTAAAATAAGTCACTAAATTTTTTTTTAATGTGTATGTGTGTATTGCCTGCATGTAAATAAGTGCACCCATGTCGTGAAAAGCCCGCAGAGGACAAAAGAAGCTGTTGGATCCCCTGGAACTGGAGTTACAGCCAGTTGTTAGCTGCCATGTGAGTGCTGGGATTCAAACCCAGGTCTTCCTCAAGAACAGCCAGTGCTCTTAACTGCTGTGCCATCTCTCCAGCCCCTAAGTCACTAACTCTTAAAACAATCACCAGAAATACTTTTTTTCTAGGGGAGACGTGAGGCTGTTAGATATCCTGTAGTTAAGATTATCACAGTAACCAAGAATCAAGAGAGTGTCAGAGGAGGAAAGCCAATGGAGGCTGTTAGCAGGGTTGGGATCTGGGCTGGGCATGTGAGGATGAGAACTGATTAAGTGAGATGTCAGAGCATGTTAGATGCTGAATGTGGAAACAGGTGTCAACCTCTGAAATGCTATACAATGTCACATAATAATGGCTCAGGGTTTTTGTCCTACGTTCAGCGGGAGAAGACTGAATATGGTTTTTGCTAGAAAGAAAAAAATCAAAGTTACAAAGGAAATTGAAAATAAAATCTAGAGTAGAGCCACAAGCTAATCCCTCCAATTCAGAATGACTATTACCAAAAAGCCAAATAATAACAAACATTTGTGAAGATGTAGAGAAAGGGTGACCTCCACATGATATTCAGGGAGTATAAATTATTACAGCCATGTGGAAAATGGGAGCTTCCTCAATAAGTTAAAAACAAAACTTCTACATGATCCAGAAACCCCACTCTTGGGTACTTCTACAAACAAAAGGAAATCAATATGCAAAAGAGACATGTACATGCCCATGATAATTAGAGCACTGTTCAGTGGCCAAGAAATAGAAACAACATAAAAACGCATCAGTTGACGAATGGATAGCAAAGATGTATATGTTCACAGTGAAATACTTATACTTAACAAAAAAATGAAATCATTTCATTTGGCATAACATGGACAGTGCTGGAGATCATTATGTTAAATGAAATAACCCGTGCCCAGAAAGGCATATACTGCCTAACATCGCTGACCAATGGAATCTAAAAAAGTAAATGTTGGTCTCATAGAACTTGTGAATAGAATTGTGGTTGCCAGAGGCTGGGGAGAGTGAAAGGAAGGGAGGGGGAGAAGGGATGACTAGTATTATAGTTATGTTATGATTAGGAATAAGTTCTGACATACGGAAGTGTGGGTATAGATAATAAGAATGTGCTGGGCATTTCAAAAAGCTGGAGGAAAGGAATTTGAATATTTTTATCTTTAAAAAATGACAAATGTTTGAGGAGACAGATATGCTCAAGCTGCTTAATCACTACACAAATGGGTTCATATCCTACTCCAATACTATTTACCTAATTTCCATCTTTTGTATGGTATATAATGTGAATTCAATAGTTTTACGAGGAAAACAATGAAAAATCTAGAGTGTAAGGAGAGAGGAATGGAACACAAGTCACGTGCTGTATGATGCTGAAAGCTACCAAGAGTGGATGGATCACACATTCCATTCTATGCTATCAGTCAAGTGAAAGAAGAAAGGCTCCTCAGCGTTAACATTTATAGTACCCAAACTCTGAAAGTGTGACTCACATTTTGAAAACAATGCAAGCATGCAAATACAAATCTATACATAATACAAGGCATAAATTGCCTAGCAAAATAAGGGAATTACAAAATAATACTGTGGTTATGTTAAACAGATTGATTCTGCGTTCGTTGTCTAGAAAACCCCTTGATGACAATGAGACATTAATCTTATGAATGTTTGTCTAACCCTTGATATATTCCAAGAACTCTAAGTGTTTTTTTGGAAAACAATTAATTCAAAACATGTCTAGGTATCTACAGTGAAACATACCAAATTTACAAATGAGGAAAGTAAATGATACGGGGATGAGGAAATTTGCTGAGTTCTTCCATTAAATAGCTATACTAAATAGGACTCAATAAAAAATGTGAACCACCCTTGGGGACACACAATAAGGGATTTATTATAAAGGCTCAGTCTTATTCAGGCATAAAATCTGGCTAAACAATCTCTTGTCATATGCTTCTCATGGTTTTGATGCTGGCCTTGAAGTAAGTGGGGGGGTCAATCAAAAGGAAAACAAATAGAAGACAAAAAATGTATGCTTCTCTCTCAGTCCCTCTTCCCTTGTAGGAACAAGTGACCTACAGAAATGGTGACCTCTTCATCAGGCTGTGCTTTCTTACCTTATCCAGATTAGAAGCTAAAGGAGCTAAAGAATGGCTGGTCTGTCAACTGCACTGTTGCAACCAGTGCACACCAACATACATCAAGTCAACTGTAATATGATCAGGCTCCTTCCCTACCATGAAATTCACAGCATCACAAATGAACTCGAGGATGGGATTGCTCAGAAATATCATCCCAGCTTAGCTAAGCAAACTCAGAACAAAGCTATGACCAGGGCAGAACTGGGGTTGGAGCTCAAGGAATCTGACTTAAAATACATACCTAACTTTTTTGAAGGAAAGAAGGAAGAATTGAGAATAATCTTTTATCTCTTTATTTTTTCATTTCTTTTGTCTTGTAGTGCTAAGGGTGGAACTCAGAGCCTGATACATGATACACAGCAGTTTACCAGGAAATATATCTCCAGTCCCTGGTATTTTGACATGATCTCAATATGTCACTCAGACTGGTGACAAACTCCTGATCTTCTTACTGTAGCCTACTGAGTACTGGGATTATAAGGGTGCATCGTGATATAAGGCAATAATTAAATCTTAAAGATACATCAGAATTCATCCAGAGTAAGTGTGGGAAACAGTATAGGTAAACAGAAATACCTGTACAAATTCAAGACAAATTGTACAAGGTGTCATCGAGCTTTTAGAAAGCCAGTTTTACCTAAATATCACATGTATGAGGGAGGTAGTCAAAGATAAAAAGCCATAATTCATCTCTGACTTTGGAAAATTGTAATTTTTATCATTCTAATCAATCCCTTTATTCCTACTAATAGATTCCAAACAGATGCTGTAGCCAAATTTGGCATCATTTTCTTCCTGTGGGATATAGTCTCCAAAGTCCTCCGCCTCCAGGAATTCAGTGCCAACACCACTGCCTCACCAGAGGCTTTTGATTTTGTCACAAGCCACAAAAACTTCAGCATTACAGACTTTGTCAAGAGCAATGGGTTTTATCTTAACAACACCACTCTGTTGAACTGTGAGTTTTTTGGGATACCATGTGGCCCAAAGGTAATAATTTGATATTTCTCAAAATATCAAGATACTAGGTCTATTTTTTGTACTATTTCATACCAAAATAGAGCTTTCTCTTAAGAAATCAATCTAGCTGTACTCATATTATATTTCATTAGTTCTGACAATTCCTGCTTTATAAAATTAAGAGATGTAGAATACACATGAGACAAATTTCTTTTAAGAAGTTAGATAAAGGCCTGGAGAGATTTCTCAGAGGGTAAGAGTGCTTGCTGTGCATATACAAAGACTTGAATTTGATCCCAGTACCTTTTTCTGGACAAAGCTGGGTGTTGCTATGCACTTGCCTGTAACTCCAGCACAAAAGGATCATTGGGGCTTGCTGGTCACCTACGCACCTCTACAAAGGAATGAGGTAGGATGTGACTGATCAGAATACTCAGAATTGTTCTCTGATCTTGCACACGAACATATATTCTGCATGCATACACACACATACACACACACATACACACACTCACAAAAATGAAGAAATCAGATGGTTCAGTGGTTAAGGGCACTCGCTGATCTTGCAGAAGACCGGAGTTTGGTTGCCAGCACCCACATGGTGGCTAACAATCGTCATAACCCCAGTTGTTCCGGGGAATCTGACACCATCTTCTGACTCCATGCCACTTCTGATATCCGTGGGCACTGCACAACATGGATATACCTCCCTACATGCAGAAAATATTCCCATACACTTAAGTTCTCATATGCCTTTCAAAAAATAATAATAAATATTTTTTAAAAGACATAGAACAGAAGTTTTACAGGCCTTTTTTGCAGCATGGGTTTTCCAAAAGTAAAACAGCTCAACAAAATAGAGTATTATAATTTTTCCCTATCCTTCAACCACCTATTTCAAGAAAGCATTTCTGCCCTCAATCACAGCTATCACTCCATTTCTATTTTATGAGAGTCCACAGAAAATAGGAGTATTCTTGCATTCAGCTGAGAATTTATGGTATACATGTAAAATGTGACATGTTATATTTTCACATATGACATACAAAATTATGTTCCTACTACGCATGCAAGTAATCTATGCTTAAGATAAAGTATGGGGGCTGGAGAGATGGTTCAGCAGTTAAGATCACCAACTGCTCTTGCAGAGGACCTGGATTCAATTCCCAGCACCCAGATGGTGGCTAACAACCACCTGTAACTTCAGTTCCAGGGAAACTGACACCGTCTTCTGACCTCCATGGGCATTGCACAACAAAGGTGCACTTGCACACATTCAGGCAATACACTCACGCACATAAAATAAAAGTAATACACAAAATATTTTTTCAAAGTACCAAATGCCTGCAATCTATTCATATATTTATTTTTAAGTAATTTGATCCCACATTTCCTAGATCACCAATTCTGTATCCTGTACTACTAGGTGATTCTAAGTAAACTGTACAAGTTCATGGAGCCAGGATATAATTCCTTAGTTGTCAGCCTCAAAGGAGGCACACGGTAGACAAAAGAAACACCTGAGAGATAGTTGCCAGGGATGAAGACACCCGTCAGAGATGCTCTAAACTAGTAACACAGAGTTCTTCTTTCTTGCTTTGTATTTATTAATGCTTAAACTCACCGCTAGGAAAGTTTTCATTAATGCTTATGCACTGCAGAAACCCAATTCTTATAAGCTGGAATGTCAAAGATGTGAATTGGTTTAGTTAACTGTATAACTTAAAAGAGGAAGTGAGTTCAGAAAATACTGCACCAATGGGTCCTGATACCTTCTTTGATTTTGTCTTTCTTTCTTTCTGCCTTGTAACTTTGCCTGCTTTTAACTGGTGTGTGTTCTCCAGACAGAGACAAAACTGTGGCTGCAAACATGTCTCTCACCATCATAGGTTAGCACTTCAGAGGTCATGTGATAATCTCATGTGACAATCATCTGTTCTTGAACTAGTTGCTGAGGCAAGAAAGTGGGGAATTAAGACCAGCCCAGCTTAGATCACACGTGGGCCTCTGTGTAGGTTGGAGTCAGTTGGAGGAAGAGTTCAAAGGGGAGCAGGGTAGAGGGATGCCCTCTCAAATGAAACAGGTTGAAGCTGTTCATGATACACTAAAAACATATTCCATAATCATTAGTAAAAACTCAAACAAGTTCATTTGTTTTCCTTTTTATTAATAAGAATAAGGACCAATGAGAGAACCCCAATTTCTCCAGTAATTTTACAGTTGGAAAAGAATCCCCTTAAGAGAAAACTGGTCAAGAGAATAAGAATCTTTGGTTTGGGTAGAGCCTTCTTAGTTTTGTCGGCTGAATCACCTGGCCACAGGATCGCCCCTCAGAAAGTAGGTTCACCTGAAATGATGCAAAAGAGATAGGTGGAGAACCGAGTGTTGAGGTGGTGGACTTCCGGGCTGGAATCCTTGTCCCTTTAGTGCAGTGCTCATGGGCCAGGCCTAAAGCTCTCCTTTTCTTCCTCATGTCTTGTTTCTAACCCATGCTTGCCCTAATACCTTGGACTGCAAGTTATTTTTAATTGTTATAAAAATATGCTTAATTATATATGAAAATGTCTTATTTTAGAAACAACATGCCAATTGTCAAGAATGCCTATTATACAAGTGTAAACTGTTATTGAACACATGCAAAAAATCACTAGACTATTAAATCCTTCTGATCATAGGCATCCTTATTTAAACACTGCAAGTTTAAAAAATGTTAGTGCAATTTAAATTTTGGACAGACTGAAAATACCCACCTGATTGTGTTTTCTTTTATTCATTTTCATGGAAGATTTTATTATTTATTTATTTATTTATTTATTTATTTATTATGTGTGTGTGTGTGTTTGAGTGTATATATGTGCACATGTATGCAGGTACCCTCGGAGGTCAGAGGGCATTGGATCCCTTGGATTTCATGGAGGATTTTAAACACATCTTCACTGAATATGGAAATTGCTTTACTTTCAATCATGGTGAAAATATCCAAGGAAAGCATAAGATCAGTGTCTCTGGAAGAGGCTTAAACTTGCTCTTCAATGTTAATCAGGTATTGAATTTTTCTCATTCTAGACTGGGTTCAAAAAGAACAAGAAGAAACATAGGTTTAAGTTTTTTATAAGAACATTTGCCCTGTCAAGTATCTTCTGTCAGTTAGGTATTATTTCAAATTTTCTGAGTTTTCTCTAATGCCCCATGAATTTTATATAATTATCTTAGAGATTCAGAAAGAAAAAGTGAGTTTGAGGCATAACCTGGACAAAGTTTACCATTCTAGTCATTTCCATCATCACAATTCCTGGAATTGTTCATGCAACAGAATAAGAGCAGAAATTTCTAGGGTGCATTGCTTATAGCTAGTTCAAGACGACTGCAAGTTTAAGACATGATTTTAGAAGGATTTTCATCTAAACAGGGTTATATATTTTTCAAAAAGAATTCCGTGCATACATGCAACGAGTCATAGAATTTACATCTGGAAGGAGAATGAAAAGAAACCACTATGGAAAGAATGGCTCAGAAATGGACTTCGTTTAAGCCTTGTTTCTCATGGACTTGTTTTTATTTGGTTTTTGTTTGGAACTGGTGTCAGAAGTTGTGTTTGGACCTGGGTGACTGGTGTTCCAACTTCTAAGAGATGTACTAGTGCTGCTAGCTTCAAGGGTACCTAGCATATACTTCCTACCATAGGTTAGTTCTGTTTTGTTTTGCCACTGCTACTGCTACAAGTATTTCTACTAGTAAGCATTTAGACAGGCGGTACTCCACTACCATGGGCTTATAAATTACGATTTTGTGATTTCTAGATGTCCAAAGTCAAACAAAAAATGACAGAGATGAGAAGCCAACTTCATCTGGAATCACACCAAATTACCACATCCCCCATTCACATGAGGGAGGCCCTGGCTGCTTCTAAAGAATTTCTTCTTCATAACGTCCTCCTGTATCCCATTCAAGATAGTTTTATTTATGTCCAAAGGCAGCATTGCACTCAGCAAATATTGAGCTAACATTTTCAGTCAGTGACATAATATCCTTGTGGCTAGTTTAATTATTAATTAAGAATATTTTAAAGTGATATTTCCAAAATATTTTATAATGTGATTAAAACCTACAAGCTTAATGTAATGTTCCATAAGTAAATGATACCTAAATATTTCTCTAAACTAATCTCTTAAATGTTTTGAAGATTTTAGCAAGTCCATCAGAAATAGAACTCTGAGTTACACCATGTTTATCAAAGATAATTGTTGACCCACTCACTCCAGTCAGTATATGTTCATGCCCACCCTTCTCCTTATAGACCAAAATTACTATATCACTAGAGGTTTTAGATATCTTGACTGATACCCAGGTGAGGTGATAAACCCCAACCCTGAACTCAGGTAGAGATGTTTGAGGCAGTGTGGTATTTGCTACAGGAGGAGTTTACCGATAACCCCGCCCTTGGGTTCATGGATTCCGGAATCATTTTTGTTATCCACTCTCCAAAGAAGGAGCCACAGTTTGATGGCTTGGGTTTGTCTTCGCCAGTGGGAATGCATGCACGGGTGACAATCCGCCAGCTGAAGGTAAGAACTCAGAGACATGGATTTGGAGGGACTTAGCTAAATAGTGAGTGCATTAAATACACAAATAACATTTTTCACTAGAAACTTTTCTATTATGCCTTTAAACAATGGCTGGAAATAGCAAAGTTTCATTTCAGATTCTTTTGCTTTTTTAACATTTTATTGTTATTATTTTCATTTTATAAATATGTGTGTATTACCTGAATGCAAGTAAGTGCACCCATGTCATGCAATGCCCACGGAGGACAGAAAAGACTGTTGGGTCCCCTGGAACTGGAGTTACGGACAGTTGTTAGCTGCTATATTGGTGCTGGGATTCGATCCTGAGTCTTCTGGAAGAACAACCAGGTTCTTAACCGCTGAGCCATCTCCCCAGCCCTAGATTCTTTTTGTTTATGTGGAGGCACATCCATAGTAAAAATCCGTTCATTCATCTATGCTACCCAAGGGAATGTGAGGAAGCCTACTAAATGCAAGGTAATCTCCAGTCTCATTGGGAATAGGATCATGAAGTAAGCAGATGAACTGAGTATCTCCTAAGGGAAACCATGGAAACAATAAAATGAGAGCCAGAGGAGTGCCAGCCACTGGAACAAACTAACCTGGCAGGTTCCACTTAACAGTCTTCCAGTCCAGTGTGACCTTGATTAAGTTTCTGAGTTCACATCTCCTCCCTGTACTTTTGGACAGTGGATAGAGAGCATTTCCCTTTCAGAGTTTTTTAGTTTAGCTGAGGTAACATAAAGAAAGGACTTACCTCACGGCAAATAATAGTTGCTCAGTAAAGGATTGATGTTTGTCATATTGGTTGGTGTTCTGCCTGATTGATAGGATCTTAACATTTACATAATTTTTATGCGAGTTAAGTTTTAGAATGGTTGGCCTACCTGATTCTTTTGATTAGCGTTTAGGACAAATCTTAAAAGACCACTACTAGAGTTCACTTCAGGGACTTTTAGGCTAACAGGGTGGGCAAAGTGGGTGGATTTAGTCATCTGAAAATAATCGAAGAACTCTGAGACAAAAGTAAAAGAGTAGAGCATCCTCTAGGGGAAAATGGATGGATGGACAGGTCAGGTTCCTGCCTCTGTGTTTCTTCAATCTTAAGACAGTCCACCAGGAGTACCCGTGGGGAGAATGCAATCCAAACATCAAGTTGCAGAGCTTCAGCAGCTACAGCACTTACGGTTGTCTGAAGGAGTGCAAAGCGCGGCACATAGAAAAGCAGTGTGGGTGTTTGCCTTTTCTTCTTCCAGGTACTCAAAGCTCTCCAATCTTTTACCTAATTTGAAAGACAAGAAATCAATGCCATTAAATTGTTTCCCATTCCTGATGAAAGATCTATGCTGGGAAACGATACACTGGCCAAGTATTACCTTAATTGATACATTTGAAACCATGGAAGCATCACAGAGATTTCTGGGAAAAAAAAAATTTGTTATGAGGCTGGGTCTTCAGTTCTTATTTAGAAGGTTAAGATTAGATGCTCTTAAATACCTAAAATTGAACATCAAGAATTTTGTAATTTGAAATAAAAATAAGATTATGTATACACAGTACTAGATTTCACTGTTGAGTAAGTATTTGTGTCTATGACATGAAAATCTCAAGCCTCTTTTACATACAGTTTGAGACATTTCCAGAAGCAGGGAGCTGAAAGTTGGGTCTGAGCTTCATGCTGTCTCAACTCTGTGATGCTACACAGGGGTCTAAACTTGTGACTTCCTGTAAGTGGGTAGAATCGTGTTCTACGTTATACACTTCTTATAAAGATGAGTGGATAAGTGCTTGGCATGTAATATATAGATAAAGTCTACAGGAATAACGGGCATTTCTTCCATCACCCTTGCATAGTATATCTACAAAGAAACGTAATCTAGATTAAGAGCAGAACCAGTTAGGCTGTCTGTACCACCTCTCTAATTCTAATTCATTTGCCTTCCCTTTCTCCCTCCCTCCCTCCTCCCACCATCCCTCTATCCCGCCGTCCCTCAATAAAGACTCACAGACAAACTAGCCCTATCCTATTCCTTATAACAATACTATCCACACACAACTCAATACAATCTGTCCAGCATTTCTCAGGGATTTCACACCACCATTTCCTTCTTGCTGGTCTCTAGTTCAAAATGCCATTTCATAAAACTGTTAGCTTTGCCTTGGATTTGCCATGGCTAATTACATTGCCTTACTTATTGGGAAGGAATCTAGATTGATCCATGTAGTACAATATTTATATCTTTAAAATGTATCATTTTGGGCCAGACTTGGTGGCACACACCTTTAATCCCTGCACCTGGGAGAGAGAGGCAGGCAGATCTCTATGAGTTCAAGGCCAGCCTGGTCTACATAGTGAGTTCCAGGACAGCTGGGGCTACAGGAAGACACTGCCTCAAAAAAAATTTTTTTTTAATGTATCATTTTGGGTCAGAGAAAGATGGCTGAACAGTTTAGAGCACTGGCTGCTCTTACAGAGGACCCAGGTCAGTTTCCAGAATCTACATGGTAGCTAGCAACCATCTGTAGCTCCAGGCTCAGGGGATCTGACATCCTCTTCTGTACTCTGTGGGCATTGAATGCACATGGTGCACTTACATGTAGGCAAACACTCATACAGATAAAATAAAGGTAAATATGTTTTAAAATATTTTAGATGTATTATTTCTTAGAAAACACAAACTGAAAAGTTAATGTGATCCACAAACTAGGGAAAGTGTTGTATAAAATGCAAAGCAATGCTTTTATACCAACTTTGGGATGTCCAAAGTGCTTTCAGGACTATTATTTTATCCTTTAGCCCCTCAAATATCCCAGTAGATCTTCTGATGGGTAAGGAATCTTGGACTTAGACACATGAAATGAACCCCAGTAACAATTTTCAGAAGCAATCCTCCAAATTATCTTTTGACATATGGGTTGATTCTAATGCTTTCTTGTCTTTCCCAATGGTAGAAATGTTACTTTAAGAAATAGGAAGAAAATGGAAGCTATGCACTAGCAGACTATTATTATTATTATTAATATTAATATTATTCCTATTTCCCTCTTCCCTCTCTACCTTCTCTTCCTTTTTCTCTCCTCCTCTGTCTCCTTCTACATCTTTTAAACCTCTTGAACTTGGACCACAGGTAGTACTTTCCAGCAGCCTCTGAAGCATTCTGAAAATTGTGCACAGTCCTAAGAGCACACTCTCCTTTAGTTGTTTTGAGGATTATTGAGTAAATATTGTGGCTAACCTTAGAAACCATATGTGTTATAACAATAGACAAATACCCTGTTAAATTCAAAGACTAGCATTTTAGAATCAGTCTTGGGAGTAAAATTTGTTGAACTATAAATTGATTTTATTTTCTGTCTGATCTAAAGCAGATACTAAACAAATATTGGTACTTATATAGAAAGGCAGTCTATCATTACATGTATGTAAAGATATTTTATGTAAATATTTATTGTGTTATATGTTAATATTAATGAGATACAATAATACATAATACTATACATAGGGAGCAGGATACTTGGTACAGAGAGTGCTCTAAGAACTCTAACTGCATGGTCTTTAACAAGCCACTTTCTGAGGCTTAGTTCTTTGTCCACAAAATAATTCCCATATCATAACATTATGAATGGGATAAAATGAGATGATAAATGTGAAAACCATTTCAAAATTTAAATCTTCAAATATTTAAAAATATAATTCCAACTTAAAGACAGAGAATTGTGGAGACAAGTAGAAAGAACAAAACTGTTTTCAGCATTCACTCTGCCTGGATTCTACATATTTACATGGCAAGCTTTTAAAGAATAAATGTCTATATGAAGGTTGGAAATATGGGAAGATGGAGAAAAGACTCTTACTATCCATATTGGATTGTTAATTTTAGGAAAAGAAAAGGCTTGGGTCTGGGTATGTAGTTCAATGTTGGTCAGTGGAGTATTGAGTTCAATGGCTAGCACCATAAAAATAGAACTAGAGTGAACTCCAGTAACAATTTGAAGAAGCAATCCCCAAAATTCCACCCAAAATTATCTTGTCAGATAAGGATTGGTTCACTGTTTTTTCTAATGGAAGAAATTTTATTTTAAGAAAAGTTTTTATATGTTATAATCACTGTTTTTAAGGAAATGGCATAGAATGTAAGCTACAAAAATACTTCAACTGTATTTCTCCTTTTCTTGGTAAGTACCCTGTTTCTTTTATTTTCAATATTTAGATCAATGTTACTTAGTATAAAATAAGACATTATATCATACTATGGATAGACAGAAATGAGAAAAAAAGGAACAAAAAGAATTTTTAGAAGCTCCTTAACACTAGGTATGCAACCATACACAGTAAGAATAGCAACGCATTTCTAAATATAAGTGACATGAAACCACGTAGCCCCAAGAGTTCAGGGTTTCATTTGAATCTTCTTATTGTTTGCAAATTGTTACTTTTTTATTATCAAAATAGTGTTAATTTTTTACTACAGATATTCTAGAAGCAAAAAAAATTCATGTAAAAATCAGAAAAAGTTTGTTACTCTATCACTCTCATTTTTAAAAGATTTAAAGATTTATTTAATTAGTTAGTTTATGCTTATGTTTGTGTGCCTGTGTGTGTGTGTGTGTGTGTGTGTGTGTGTGTGTGTGTGCAGGTGCCCATGGAGGACAGAAGAGGGTGGTAGATTCCCTGGAATGGGGGTTATCAGCTGTTGAAAGCTGTCCAATGTGGGTTCCAGAAACCGAACTTGGTCCTCTGGAAGAGCAGCAGCACTCTTTACGACTATGCTGTCTCACCAGCCCCCTTCTTCTCTTGTTTGAGGATCATCCTTTCATTTACTCACACACACATTACATGGAACCCACCCATGCCTTATTTATTGAAGACAACTTAAACAGGTGTATTTTGCTTACATACTTACATTGATCTCCTTCCAGTGTTAATATTGTGTTATAGTCTGTCATAACTTGATACATATGCACAACTTCATATTTATGATGTAAGTCATTGATTGCCTTGTTAAAATGTGGTATTATTGTATACCTATTGTCTTAGTTTTATTTCTGTTGCTGTGTTAAAATAACTTGACAGAAGCTGCCTATGGGAGAAAAGGTTTATTTTAGCTCACGATTCCGGGAAGTCAGGTGGTAGGAAATTGGAGCATCTAGTGACATTACATCCATATTCAAGAGCAAAGAAAAGCAACCTAATTCAGGCATTCATGCTCTAAGCTCACTTTCTCCACTTTCACCCACCCACACAGGGCTGGTCTTCCCACCTCAATTATTAATTAATCAAGATAATTTCCCACAGACTGCCCACAAGCTAACCTGATCTAGACAATCTCCCTTTAAAATTCCCCTCTCAGTGTGGGCCTTAATATGGACAATAGAGTATATGGGTTCCAGTCGGGGGGGGGCTGTGAGAGTGTTCTTGTGGGGACAGAGGCATAAAGATTATTACAATTCTTTGATATATTGTGTATAAATAGTAAGTAAAAATTCAATAAAAATAAATTTAAAAAAATTCACTTCCCAGATGATTCTATATTGTGTGAAGCTGACACTGATCATTTCTACACCATTCCTTAGGATCAACTGTGGAAAATTTTCTAAAATGGGAAGAATAGAGTTATTTTCTTTTAAATGATTATAGAATATTTCAAGATTTGTCTATCAGCTAAAGGAGATCTATATTTTTCTTAAGTTTCCAAACTATACATACAAAAGCCATGTTGATAACCAATAGAATCAAACTTCTGATTTCCTATTTCTGATGAGAACTGGAAGGAGAGGATGGGGAATCAAATCATGTTTGTGGTGCTGAGTGGATTATTGTAGGATAACAAGATCACAAGGTATGTATGAGTGCCTGTGTGAGTACAGTGTGTGTGAAAGTGCCGGAGTATGTGAATGTGAGGTGTGTGTGTGAGTGTGGGAGGAGGTGACTACATGACTGTATCAGAGCCCATGTATGTGTTTGAGTATTCAGGAGTGTGTAGATGAACAGATGATTGTCTGGTGGCGCTAAAGGTGCCAAGGAAGACTAAAGACAGAGAAACTCAGTGTCTGTCTGAAAAGCTACTGGGTCCACGGACACAAGAGATCCCAAGCCAACAGCAAATTCCACACCATTGTAGGCAGAGACAAATTAAAGATAAGTGTAGTTTAAACTACTGGCTTTCAGAATTCTATTTGAGAGTTCCTCTCAAGCTGACACAATTTTACACTGGCATTCTCCATCCTGTCCTGTCTACATGGTTAATCTTGCCAAAAAATAGATTCAGGGACTTGCTGGAATTTCTTATTTCTAATAAAGATCTGACCCTAGCGATTCAATGAATCAAGGATTACAACTGTGTTTTATATTCTGTCCTCTTGGTTGTAGTAACAGCAATAAACGCTGTTTATTTAGAAAATGGGTATATGATGAGTTAGCCACATCCTTTTAAACAGAGAAATTGTGAATTTTAAGATGCCCATCGCACCCTTTGTGAAATCTGTGAATGCCCTAGTCTGGTTTCCTTTTCAGACTACATTGAGTTGAAGGGACTGTGTACAATGGGAACACACAACTCCAGCTGCCCTGTGTCGTGTGAAGACACTGAATACCAGACCACTGTTTCTTATTCTACTTTCCCAAGTCAGAAAGCATTGAAATTCCTTTCCAATAAACTGAATCAAAGTGAAGAATATATCAGGTAACCCGATTAGCCTCATAAATTATACATGGTCAACATTATTAATGTTTCTTTTACAATATTTTATTTATTGTTTTTTATTTTATGTGTGTGTGTGTATTGCCTGCATATAGGTAAGTGCACCCATGCCGTGCAATGCCAGTGAAGGTGAGAAGAGGTTGTCGGATCCCCTGAAACTGGAGTTATGGACAGTTGTTAGCTGCCATGTGGGTGCTCAAATTCGAACCCAAGTCTTCTGCAAGAACAATCAGTGTTCTTAACTGCTGAGCATCTCTCTAGCCCCTTAACTTTTCTTTATTGAACATCCTAAATATCTGGAAATGAAATGCTGGTCAATCAAGGAGCAATGACCATTGTCACTAGGCTATAATAAAAATATAAGAATCTAAGAATAAAAGTATAATAATTTAAAATTAGATATGATCATATTGTTTTTATAGAATCAAATATTTCAATCTCTTTATCTTTTAAAAGAGCAGACTAATGTTTGTTGAAGTCTTTTGCTATGGTCACACCTTCACTGCCAACTGGAGAAAATACTAGTGCTAGTATCAGTTAATGCTTAAAATATGAAAACCTTGTACCTGTACACTATATACTTTGAGTCTCCTAATAACCATATAATAGATGGAAACATCTCATTTTACAAGAGACCTTGAAGCACACTAAATTTTAGCTAACTGTCTACCAAGGCTGTTAGTCATATGGAAGGAAACCCTACCAAAGAACTTACCTCTGCTCGTCAGGGGCTCTTCACAGAGACAAGGGACTCAAGCTCCTCTGTCACCACCTAGTTTCCTTTCTGATGTACCATGTTGCTTCTTGCAAATTATCAGTCAAAATTAATAAATAAATTTTAGTGGGATTATTTTTGAGGGAGAAAATTTAACATTTCTCCTTTGTTAAAGTTTAATGTATTTTGGTAGCAAACTTACAGGAGTAGCACAGAAGCCCAACAACACTAAAAGCGTGCACTTATATGTTGGTCAACTCAGAAAAGAATAGTGAGTGGACTTACTTTTAAAAGATCCAAATGCCACCATTGCCCAAAGACTCTTAACAGGCCTGTTTATAATCGTTACAAGGCAAAACTACTGAGACTTGTTCACAAAAACATTTTGACTCACATTATTGTTGTATATCTCTGAGTTTATATTGAAAATCCACACACAAATGAAAATAAATTTGAAGCACTTGATTTCTGCCACTGATTGTTGTACTTACAATCATGTATTTTTGTAGATTGTTGATTCCACAACAGAAAAAATTCTTACATTCAAAATTATTGAATATAAGTAGTGGCGACTCCACCCCCTACCCCCTGCTTTTGAAGATGAACTATTCTTGTGATTTTATTTATCTTATTTTATGTGCATGAGTATTTTGCCTTCATGGATATAAGGCACCACTGGAGCTGGAAGAGGGCATTGGCTGCCATGGAACTGGAGTTACCATGGTTGTAAACCACCATGTGGGTGCTGGGAGCTGAACCTGTGTCTTCTGCAAGAGGAGCCAATGCTCTTAACCACTGAGTCATCTCTCCAGCCCCAAGATGAACTATTCTTCAATGTACCCTCCATGTATGCAGCCTGTGAGCTGGATAACTTTTGACACAATTGTTACTTGTTTGGCATGGGTTGCTGTTCTCAGAAATGCTAACCAGGAAGGCCTCACTTGTTTCCTGTAAAGCACCAGTAACTGTGCTCTAAAAGCACAGGTCTATTTTGAAGTATTGAATAATGTTCACAAAAGATTCTAGAAGCAGAGTTTGTAAATCAGAAGTTCTGATACAATTAATTTCACAAAGTGCCACCATACCAGGCCTGTAATAAGCTTCCTTCCCACTCCAGGGCACACTCTGGCCAGGGCTTTACACGGAGTTATTCCCTGCTGTTTTACCATCAGTAAGTTTTCACCTACAGCTCAGGAAGCTAGTATCTTTGTGTTTATTTACATTTTAAACCTAGGACCTGAAACAACAATAATAATATGTTGGTACTTATACTTAAATCTAATAATATAAACAAGTATTAACTGAGTTAAAGTTCATTGAACTTTCCATAGCCAAGTATCCAACTAAAATCATGTTTTGATTTAGTTTTACATTAAGATTTGTTTTAATAGAGTTAAAAAGTATTTCTATATAAATGCATAAATAATAGAATATTCTTTTCAAATAAAAAAAATTGAAAAAGCATTTTCAACAAGACAGGCTTCCTGATATATGATTTCAAAAACTTAGCAGCTAAAAAGACAGACACAAAGAAGTTGCAATTAGACAGTTAATACAGAAATCTGTTATATTTTAATATAAAAAACTGATTGGCTTGCAGTATTATGCCCTTATAATAAATATTACTTAGAAAAGCACTTTGTGTGAATTTAGCTATTAGAGTTCTCCCAAATTTCAGAAGTACTTAATTTTTAGGGAGAGTTGGTATGATACTTATGAATTAGAAATACAATTTATGTAATTATACAAGATGGTGTGGTTCTTTTTCTAAACCAGATTATTAATAATACTTTTCTGAGTAATCCTATCATAATTGACAGGTAAGGACCTTGTATGGTTGTGTGGAGCAGAAACTATGACCAGGATGTCAATGCAAGCATCTAAGCAAAGGTGTCTAGACACAAGGATTGCCAGGATCATGGCTAGTGCTGGCTGGAAGTCACAAGACTTCTGCTCTAGTCACAGAAATTAAGTGTTGTGTATCAGGAAATGTAAATGCCACATGTCGGCAAGCAGACATGAAATCTTAGCAATAAGAAGTAAAAGGATCAAAAACCAGAAAAAAAAAAGATGTAAAAAGAACCAACTTCCTACATTAGTCATGAAGCCAACTTTACTTGATTGTTCCTGGGGCTAAAATCAGCCTTAGACTGTGTCTACCCCAAGATTTCTGGCAGCTCCTGACACTGTTAGAGAGATCAGGGGAAACTTAGCTTAACTGACATAGTCACTGGTGGTGAGGGGGGAAGGGACAAGTGTGACTGAATTTAGACAAAGCTCATTAATCATGCAAGTGAATGTTTTAAATTATTCTGCTGGTAAATTCTGAAATAAAAATTGTATAAAGTTGTTTGCTTTTTGCAAAACCAAAACATTTCTGTTAGTGCGATGTGCATGTGCAAGACCCTGAGACCCTGGAAGCATTTTCTTGAACATTAGTAATATAACAATAATAATTTTTCCTTTATTCCCTTTGTTGTCTTTAAAACTCAAATTTTATCTTATAATCATGTTTTTCCCAAGATAAGCCAAAGTTTTTGGACTTAACAGAATCATTCCTTTATCACCATGAGGCACAACAGGGACTCGTATTGCTGGACCAATCAGCTGACAGAGAAGTTGCAAAATCATCACCGTATTTTTTGTAGGAGTGGAATTTATCTTCTCTCATAAATGCAAATGGAGAATGATTATAAATGGTCATTAATGTTGAACTTGGGACATTAAACAATATTATCAATGTACATGCAAATTAAGAGCACAATGATGGGCTAAAAGACTAAAATTTCTGAATTTCCAAGACAACTTTATTACTTCTTTCACTTTGATAACTGCTTTATTATTTGTAAACATTACTACTTTAATCAATGATCTGTCTAAATAGAACACGCTTTCTTGTTACCCAGCATTAAACTAATGGAAAATGAGTACACATATTAATGGTGCATTTTGAATTAAGCACATTAGGGAGTACTGATTCCCCAAACAGTAAACAATAAGGACAGCAATTTAAAGTTATGATCCTTTTGTATGTTCCACGATATTCCAGGAAACATTGCTAGTACAGTCCATTCTTCATGAAAATTATTATTGCTGCCTGAAATCACGTGATAGTCGATGTCAGCTTCAGTTTATAGCACAGAGAGGTTCATTGTTAGTCACTCATTTGTTGGCTCCATCTTTGAGTTGTTACAGTTTTGACAAATATACAGTGATCATCTGTTGGCTGTTAAGATACAAGAGACATACATGCCTCAGTGCATGGAAGTAAAAAGCCATGCCTTACTGCACATGTTTCCACAACAGTGGAAATGAAGGACAGGTACATCAGTTATTTAAAATGATGCTATATACCGTGAAGGGAGAGGGAGCAGAAAAGTCAGCTGGGGAAGCCAGAATGAGAGAGAGTTGTCTTCAGGTGTGTGGTCCGTGAGCAGTAAAGACCTTTGTGAGCAGAGGTCAAAGAGCAAAGTCCTATAACCATGGGTCCCAAAACTCCATGGAGAACTGTATATAGATGACAGTAGTTCCACAAATAGGATTTCTTGTTGGACTGGCTATGGAGTGGCAGGTTTTATAGTAAAATGGGATGAATATCAAGCATTTGATTGGGATAGTGATAAATTATTAGACAAGCAATCTGAATTATCAAAATCAATCAAGTATACTACTGAAATTTAAGTAGAGGCCTAGGTAGAGGATAGGGCTCCCTAGATACATAAGTGCCATAGCTTTAAAGCCATGCTTAGTCACCCCAGATACATATGAAGATTTCTAGAAAACAGTAAGAAATCAAAGTCTTTGCTCAAGTGTATCATTGACAAAAGGAAAATAGCATTTATTGAGCCTCCTAAGCACTCCAGATTATACTCTGGTTCTGTGCATATGTTGTTTAATTTCTTCTCACCACAGCCTGCAAGCTCAGCTCTAAAATTCTCACCTTGGAGAGGAAACAGTACTGTGTCTTCAGGGTTAGCTAAGGGACAAGAGAAAAACAAGAATGGAATTTAAATGAAAACTTTAAAGTTATGTTTTTCAAGTTTCTCAGGAGTTGGGAATGGAAAAGTTACTGGGTTTGTGGAAAATTTTTTTAAATTTTCCTTAAACATTATCATGTCAAGAGTGCTTTCCAAATGATGCTAACTGGAATTAATATTTTGCATACATACTGAGTCTAATGCAACATTAAACAGCTCCTGAATCTAAAATGAACATTGCTTTTGTCAAATGGGACTTAAAATCAGTGCTGACAGGCATAAGCTATGATAATTCTGTTTTTATCCCCAGGGAGAATCTTGTGAACATTGAAATAAATTATAGTGATTTAAACTATAAAATAACACAGCAACAAAAAGCAGTAGGTGTACCCGAGCTACTTGGTAAGTGTTATTTACTTATTCCTCAATTCTCATTTTGTTTTGTTTTGTTTTGTTTTGTTTTTGAATCAGGCTGCTTTCCTCCCTGTTCAAGGGTTAGCGAATCAATGGAGGAAGAATGAATTGTTCTTGTTTCTGACCAGATATTTAAATATTTATACTCCTTAGAAAACGATTGTGACTAGGTTCTACAGGGCTTTGCCAAGGCTGCCACTGATGCCTCATCAGAGTTTCACTCCCAGTTACTTTCCCTTCAGGCTGCCTGACACCAAGTCACTATTGTACGGTGTTACAAGGGGTCTAAACCTCCAACCTCCACATAGAGCTTCACCCCAGCGAAGGGTAAGAAAGGTCCTGAGCAAGCAATATGATGCAGCTACTTTACAAACTCTGTCTGCTCTTCCTATTTCATCATGGAGTCCTTAACAAACTAACTGCTCATTTCCTGGATTCCATTGCATGTTAGAGGAGCATTAGGAGCCAGAAAAGTGAATTAGATTCAGGCACAATTATAGTCCAATCCAGCAGCTGAGAGCCAGAAGGGTCCATGTCCAAATTCTCCAAAGCCCCTACAGATACCACTCTTGGCACATCTAACAAACAGCAGCATCCCAAGGATAAGTCTGGGCAGTGAGATGAAGATTATCAATAAATTAATCTGATTAAGAAGGAGGTGCTAGAGCAATAAAATCTCCAGGGACAAAAAGTAACAGGGTGATTGTCAGGGTCTTGTGGAAGGAGGGGATGGGGAGTTATGTTTCAAAGAGTTTCTTCTAGGAAATGTTAAAAAGTTTAAGAGATGGTTGGGGAGGGTGTCTCCTAAATACAAGTGCACTTAGTGCCACATAACTGTACACTTACAAATGGTAAATTTTATGTTATGTAAATGTTACCATAATAAAGGCTAATGTAAATTTAAAAATATTTTTAAAATGCAGTGATTCTTAAATATTTTTTGGTTAAATGAATTTTTTCTCCTATTTGAGATGATTTGTATAAATTTTGTTGTTAATTTTACTAGTTGCTATTACTTTATACTAAATTTCAAATAATACAATTAATGCATTTCCATGTATCGGTTATGATCAGCTTATTAAAATCAAATAATTTATAGTATAATGTCTAATTTTATTTTTATGAGAAAACTTAATTTCTTTATGGCTTTTTATCACAGCAGATGTTGGTGGTCAGCTGGGTCTATTTTGTGGAGCTAGCATGATTACCATTATGGAAATAATTGAATATGTATTCACCAATTTCTACTGGATCTTCATATTCTTTTTGCTGAAAATACTTGAAATGATCCAGCGGACTCCTCCAATTCAGACAGTATAGAAGAATACTAACACTCTGTTAGAATAAGTGTTGGGTTTTGTGTTAAATACCAACATATATACCATGTCTTATTATTTGTAGGACTTATTTTGTAGTTTGGAGAACTTAATGAAAATCATTAAAAACATCTCTTTCTTTATCTGCATTTTTCTCTGTGTCATACATATGAAATATGTAGGCCTTGTCAAATTATTTCTGCTTTCAACTCAGCATTTCAAACAATATAGACTAAGTGGTAGATATTTCATAAGCTTTTTACAAATGTTTGAGTAATGGAAAAAAGGCATTTTTTTGTAACTAAGTGTGTGATTCCACCTAAAGAACTGTATATGAGTTTAATGGTTAGTTTCAAATGTCAACCTGCTGACGTAGCATCATGTGAGAAGAGAATCTCAGTTGTGGAATTATCTAAGACAGGTTGTCTTGATTGCTAGTTGACCCAGCCCACTGCAGGTGGTACCATTCCCGAGGCTGGGCCCTGATGCCCCAAAGAGTGAAGAAAGTGAGCTAATGAGGCAAACAGACAAGCAAGGACCCACACATTTATTCCCTCTGCCATGGACTGTAGGTGTGATGTTTTAAGTTCCTGCCTTAACTTCCCCTCAATAAAGGGCTGTAACCTGAAATTTTAAGTAAAATAAACCCTTTTTCCCCTAAGCTCCTTTTGTCAAGGTATTTTATACAGCAATAGAATTGAAGCTGGAGCAATGGGTAAACAGGACAATCTTTGTTCTGGAAATACTATGTAATTTTTTCCATATAAATATTCTGAGAATTTTTATTTTCACTAAGCCGCAACATCTTTTTTTCTTTCATCTGGACAATTCTATAGGAACTGAATTTTTGACAGCCAGGAATCTGTGTTTTCTATACAAGTGGAGACTTAAATGTAATTGTAAATAAGGTTGAATCTGAAGGATATTAGGGTGCATTGATTTTGTTATTTCTTTCCTCATACCTCTATGCAGTTGTTTAATCTAAAAAGGAAATTCAAGCATTCCACTGATAACCCATTAGGCAATAGACTACTTTCAGCCATTCAGAAGACTCATTCAATGGTAAATTGCTCAAAACCTTATTTACCACATTAAACAAATAATAGTCAAATCAAAGAACTCTAACACCAGGGCTGAGGGTGCAGTTCAGTGGAAGAGTTCATGCTTACCATGTATGAAGTCCTGGGCTCAATCTGTAGGGCACACAAACACGTTGCTGGGTTGCATTTTCCTCCTAACCACATGAAAATGAGTCCTGAAAAATCTCAAAATCTTGTTAACAAACAATAAGAGAATACGAATGCTGTAAGAATGAGGCCAGTGAAAGGCTGTTGGTCAGTCAAGTTCAACTATTACATTTCACGACTCAGGGCTCCCAATCTGGTAAGTAACCAGAGAAGTTCTTGTATTGAGCTGTGACATGCTCACCCATCATCTCCATGCCCAGAGTGCAGAGGCATCCAGTGGAAGACCAGAAAGCTAAGAGATGCCATGCAATCACCGCCAGTGGCAGCCGCTCCTCTGTTCTCTTGGGTGCCACTCCTTTGTTCTCACGGGCGTCGCTTCTGCTCGACTGGTGCTGAGGCCTCTCTTCTGCTTGCCCTGTGCTGCCTCCTGTCATCACCGCTTCTGCCCAGTCCAGGACCCCAGGGCTGGTGAGGAGACTGTGTCAGCGGAACCACATTCAGACACAGGAAACCAGGTTCAGTGATACAGGTCTGCTTTATTGCAGGAAGGTATAAGCTTATATAGGGGTGGTGGTCCAATCACAGCACAGCAAGTAGGCTACCTCATTAGCATAACAAGTTTAGCATCCTATCAGGGTATAGCAAGTAGGATACCTTATTAGCATAACAGTCTTAGCATCCTATTAGCATAACGCTTAACATCCTATCACAGAATAGCGGGTAGGATGCCTCATTAGCACACTGGATTTCAGATTACAGAGCCTGGATTCCTGGAAACCATGTGACCCTGAATGTTGCAATATCTAAGTGTTGCAATTTTGGATTCCTATGGTGGTGATTAGGGAGTGGTGAGCTCTTGGCATCAGTCTCATGAGCTGCCAAATGGAGGAAATGTCACAAGGTGTTCCTTGTGGTCTCCAGAGGCCAGGCCATTGCCTCGGGCCTGCTGTATGGCTGTCAGTAAGACTTTCACCCTAGGCTCAAGCCTGTCTTCCACAATGCCACCTGTAAGATATTGCCACAAAAATGCTGATGGACCTTAAAGAAGGAAAAGTTTGCAAAAGAGTAGAAGAGTCAAAAACACAGCAACTACATAATATATTGTAATAAATACTTTTAATGTATATTAAGCATGCAGAAATGGACCAAGTACACAGGTTTTCAAAGAACATACATTCAAAAGACATAGGATAAACACATTGGAGAGATTTCCTGTACTGGAAAGAAATGAGGAAAGGAGAAATGGAATGCAAAAGAATCAGTCAATCCTAAATAATGAAAGACAAGGTGAAAGATTAACTTGCATCTCTACTTGATGGCCCCCTACAGTAAGGTAATTAAATTGCACACATACTTTCACAGTCATATTTTCTTGAGAATTGAGAAGAATGGCTTCTTCATGGACATTACTGTGACTGTTCCTCGAACTTTGTGAAATGGACCTGCTTCTTGTGTCCATTGCAATCCCTCTCACCTTACAATTGCCCTAAACCAAATCAAGCAAAAAATAATTTTCCTTTTTGCAACACATAGTCAAAATCTTGAAATTAATTTTGAGTTATTTATAGAAAAAAAACTCCATAAATTTTATTTTACCTATATCATAAAATGGGTGGCTCAGGAGCAAAATATAAATTGGATGACTCTCCAATTTTCCCATTGAGTCTATGTGGGGACTGAGTTCAGGGTCCAAGAACAGAGGTCTGAGAGATTAAAGAACATTCATGGAGCCACTAACAAATGAGATACATTTAATTTTCTCTGGGCTAGGGCACAGAGGCCACTGAGTAGATGCACACTGGGCAGGTGACTACCTGGTAAGAGTATATGTGTGCTCTAGGTAGCTCTCCACTTAGCCAAAGTAGGGATTTGGGCCACCCCTCCTTAACTTTGGAGTGGCTAACCAAGACCTTATCTATCTGGCAATGGGGTATGCAATGCTCACTAGGACTGTGACTCTCCTAGTGATAGACTCACCAGCCTGCAAGGCTGTATACACTGCTGCTCACTGTTTCTTAATAAGGGCGTAGTGGGTCTCAGCCCCCTTTCACACTTGCAACCAAAATCCTATAGGTCCTGGCCTCTTCCCTATACATTGCCATAGGTTCCAGCCAAATCCTTTCATATCAGTAATCACATTCAACTCAAATGGTTGGATCTAGCCAACAGTCCTAAGCATCTGTGCAGGGCCTCAATCCAATCTCATGTTACTTTTTTTTTTTGCAACATATACAAGGGATGTAGTACTGGGCCAGGTAGGGCTGAATACTCTTCAATGCTCCACAGCCCTGCAAAGACTGTAGTTGCTTGTCAGTCATTGGTTGAGGGTAGGCAGGAACCTTGTCAATTACAGCCTCTGATTATAGCGTTGGTCCTACCAGACCAGATAACTCCCAAGAATTTGACAGATAAACCAGGCCTTTGCACCTTTGAGTCATTTACCACCCATCTTCATAATTCCAGGGCAGCTATCTGACTCCATAGCTCACAGATCCTGTAGGCTCTCAGGCCCACAGCTACAGAATTCAAATGTGTAAGAGGATCAGAAGTTTGTACATTGTTATCAACATAGTGAAACAAAGGGACCATCTTGGGTCATTTCCAGGTCATCAAGTCCTGAGTCACCAAACGATGACAACTGGTGGGGCATGTGCCCTTGGTCCCAAGGACATTTTATAGCAAATCACACAAATGTGGCTTCTTCCCTGGCAGCTATCTGCCCAGTGGCTTGTGTGCTCTCACCTGAAGAAATTAAAGCATGTCTCATTTGCCAAGGGCTCCATGAATCTTTTTTAATTTCCAGCTCCTCTGGACCCTCCATTCCTGCCAAACTCAGCCTCCACAGTCTAGCATTATAAAAAGCATTATTTCCTATGATGCTCACTTATTTGTATTCCAATATGCTGCTACTTAAATGGGGGGAAGCCTAATTTTTGAGACATTAAGTGGGATTGGCATGCAGGAGTGAACTACCTAAGAATCCAGAGTCTTAGAATAAAGTCTCAGTTTCCTCAGTCTTGACCAAGGAACCCGATGCTCCAGCACTGTTCATTGGCTGACAGGGATAATGCAGAATGTGCTGAGAAATGACTAGTCTTCCAATCCTCTGATCAATACAGCTTAAACAACTGAGCACTGAGGTGCTGATGAAATTTTGTCACTGTGTCAGCCTACCCTGAGTTTAAATAAAAAAAACTCTAAGGCTGATTGCCAGGTATACATTTCATATACATACATGATATGAAGCTTGAAAAAATGGACTGAAATAATGTGCTGGTCAGTGAACTTGACACAAACAAGTTGACATAACTTGGGAAGATGGAACTTCAATTGGGGAATTTCCTCCATCAAATAGGCCTTTGGGCAAGTCTGTGGGGGCATGTTCTTGATCGCTAATTGATGTAGAAGGGCCCAGAAAACTATCTGCAGTGCCATCCCAGGGCAGGAACGGTAACTGAATGTGAGCCTGGGAACAAGCCAGTGAGCAGTGGTCCTTCATGGTCTCTGCTTTGGCTCCTGACCAGGTTCCTGTCCTTTGTTCCTGCCTTGGCTTCCTTTCCCCCCTAAATTGGTTTTGGTCATGGTTAATCACAGCAACCAAAAGCTAGACCAGGGTGTGACGTGTAGTAAAGGAGGAAGTGCCCTCTATACAGTGCTCTTGGTTCTGCTGACACTCTGCTCAGAGTGAAATTACTAATGAAGTAAAACATGGGTTTCACACTATGCCTGGTCTTTGATGAAAACTTGGAGATAGAGTATTCACTCAGAGTCTACTTTTTTTCGTTTTTAACTAAATGTATAATCTAAATATCATACAGATTTTTTTGTCAGCTGTAACTTAGCTAATAATAGATATGACTAAATAACTCATTGGGCCTTTCATCTGAA